AGGGAGCCCGATGTGGGACTCGATCCCGGGACTCCAGGATCATGACCTGAGCCGAAGGCAGTCGCTTAACCAACTGAGCCACCCAGGCGCCCAAGAACTCAGTTTCTTGATGGAACAGAAATAAGGCAAGCAAATACTACCTTCTAAATTCTTTTTTTTTTTCCATAGCTTTCTTCTCTCTGTGTTTTACCTGTGGTTGTTTGGACATCCTTCATAGTATATAAAGACAGATTTAACACTCTCTACGTGTTGGGTGTGGCCAGCATTTTAAGTATCTCAGAGATGGGCTCGCAGTCCTGTCTTCCAATACAGCTCAAGTGCGCAACAGGGGAGTCCTTTTGTTTTGGGAGTGGAAAGTTTAGGTGGGAATTTGCTTAGACATTAATGACAGAGATTCAGCATGTTGGAGAACATGGTGTTTACATTTCTGTGACTACTTTTGAGACTCACCCAGCTGAGCTTTCTTAAGAATGAGGGTCGTGGGATGCCTGGGTGGCTCAGTCGGTGAAGCGTCTGCCTTCGGCTCAGGTCACGATCCCAGGGTCCTGGGATCGAGCCCCACATCGGGCTCCTTGCTTGGCGGGGAGCCTGCTTCTCCCTCTGCCTGCCTCTCCCCCTGCTTATGTTCTGTCTCTCTGACAAATAAATAAATAAAATCTTTGAGGGTCGTGTTGTTACCACTCTGTGCCAGCACGACTTGTGACAGACCTAAGCCCCTCCTAGAATCATCATTATGTCTGAGCTACAGCCCTTTCACGTCCTGAGGAGCACAGATTGCTTGTGTCCTCGGTGGCATTGCAGAGCGGGTGGACAGAGTGATGTAAGAGACTCTTCGTGGCCGAGGTTTCAGGATTCCCAGTCAACTCCACACACGCTTTCCAGCTCTCGCTGGTTTGTCAATGACTGCTTTTATGGCCATTTGGACTTCTCAGAATGCACCGCCCTAAAATGGGATTGGATTTTTTAAAACCAGTCCTCCATAATCCCTATTGTGTACTCAGAAAATGCCAATATTGGGGCGCCTGGGTGGCTCAGTTAAGCGTCTGCCTTCGGCTCGGCTCATGATTCCAGGGTCCTGGGATCGAGCCCCGCGTCGGGCTCCCTGCTCGGCGGGGAGTCTGCTTCTCCTTCTCCCTCTGTCTACCACTCTGCCCACTTGTGCTCCCTCTCTGTCAAATAAATAAATAAAAAAAAAAGATTTACTCGACATTACAATAAACTTGTTTTAAAAAAAATAAATAAAAAAAATAAACTGTTCATTTAAATTAATACACTCCTTGTAAAATGTAGTCTGTTACAAATACCATATATTCCATTCACTGTAAGAGTTACCGTAACTATGACAGTTACATGCTGGGGACGCACACCGCAGAGTTTTTTGTGAGACCATCCGTGGTCGTTGTTGATGGCTGTTTCTTACGAAGAGAAGTAGAAGCGGTCTTGGGAGTTCCCAGGGGCCAGTGGCTGCACCGCTGAGGAGACAGAAGAGCCCTCTGGGACTCAGAAGCCCATGCTTGTTCTCGCCACAAGCTGGCTTTACCCCTCGGGGGTAGAATTCAGGCCCTGAGCTCTCTTCCACCACGAAAATGAACGATTCAGTGTTAGCGCCAGCGTCCCACAGAGAGTATATGATTTGCAGATACTTAAAACGTGCGATTTTGTCCTCGTGGCATTTTTTATCTGCATGTTTTCATTCTGGGATCATTCCTAACACACCCTCTACTTGCACTGACAATGTTTATATCCTCTGGTTCTGCTCACCTAAACCCCCTGTTTCTGCTCTTCTGCTTTCTCGTTTCTTCTACGGTGATTCTAGAGTAAGGTAACACTCCTTTCTCAGAGCCATGTTTTCCTACTATCCTAAACTTTTTTTACTGTGGTTTAGTCTCATAAGTTTGAAATTTAATTTTTGACTCGTACACTTTTTTTTTTTTTTAAGATTTTATTTATTTATTTGACAGAGACAGAGACAGCGAGAGCAGGAACACAAGCAGGGGGAGTGGGGAGGGAGAAGCAGGCTTCCCACCGAGACGGGAGCCCGATGCGGGGCTTTATCCCAGGACCCTGGGATCATGACCCGAGCTGAAGGCAGTCGCTTAACCAACTGAGCCACCCAGGCGCCCCTGACTCGTACACTTTTTTCTTTTTTTTAAGATTTATTTGAGAGAGAGAGGGAGAGTGTGTGGGGGAGGGGCAGAGAGAGTCTCAAGCAGACTTCACACTGAGCATGGAGCCCAATCTCACAACCCTGAGATCACGACCCAAGAGTCGGGAGCTCAGCCGACTGCGCCACCCAGGCGCCCCTAAACTTCTGCCCTTTATCCACAAAGATTTTTAGTCTCTTTTTTTTTTTTAGATTTTATTTATTTGACAGAGGGAGAGACAGCCAGAGGGCTTAGACCTTTAAAAGATACTTTTAGATCTGAATTGATTTGAGATGCTAGTTAAGCATTAAAAAACACATCTTTATGTGTTTGTTTCAAGAATGGTAACTTAAAATTAGTAAGTATTTAAAAACTTTTAGGGCGCCTGGGTGGCTCAGTCATTAAGCGTCTGCCTTCAGCTTGGGTCATGATCCCAGGGTCCTGGGATCAAGCCCCGCGTCGGGCTCCCTGCTCGGCGGGAGGCCTGCTTCTCCCTCTCCCACTCCCCCTGCTTGTGTTCCTGCTCTCGCTGTCTCTCTCTCTCTGTCAAATAAATAAA